ATAGATAGATAGATAGATAGATAGATAGATAGATAGATAGATAGATAGATAGATAAGAGTCCCCCCTCCCCCCATTTCTCTCACCTCCTTTGCTCATCTGTGTCATCATTAAGCGGTTTTGCAAGGCACAAATTTCTGCTTTCAGCCTGTCATTTTCTGCTCTCAAATTGTCTGCCTCTTCTTTCTCTCCCTCTTCTTTCACCCTGTCCTCTTCCATCTTCCTCTTGTCTTCGTGAGATTCGTCTCTCTCATTCCTCGCCGTGTCCATGCTGGTCTTCGTGTTCCTCTGACTGCTCACTCTCTCAGCCGTTACTGCGTCTCCCGATATGACGAAACTTCTCGAGTTACTGTCCTCTTCACCTGGTCCACCCTTTACGGAAGGGCTGGAATCTTTCGTGTTTTCCGAGTCACCAAAGGAACTGTTCGGATCATCGCAGAGCGTTTTTTTATCAACAAAGCGTGATTTTATATCGATGTCAGTAGAGAGTACTTTTTGATCCCCGCCGCTCACAATTTGATCACAGCAGCAATGTGCATTTTGATCACCAGAACTCATATTTCTTTCACAAGAGTGTAGATTTTGATTGCAAGAACTCACATTCCTTTCACAACAGCGTAGATTTTGATTATCATCTCTCCCTGTTTTTGAATCATGGCACTGCTCGTCTGGCTCACATTTGAGTCCTGGACCATGAGTTTCTATGCGTGGGAAAACAGAACAGGTCAAACTCTGACCACTTTTCAAAAGAACCATAATATCGTCGTCGGCCATGTTTAAACACTTTCCTCACTTTGGCAAGAATCTGTGCCTTAGTTGAGATTTGTCTTTAGTGTTTGGAGACTAGATAATGTTATTATTATTTTTTTTAATAAAAAAAAAGCTGCTCTCCTCCTCAAGTTTCGTTATCATCGACGAGATTTTCATCACAGTTGAACCTTTGTTGTCCTGATTAGATCTGTCTTTCTCCTCTCCGTAATCGAGAGAAAGATAACAACTAAACGTTAAAGAAGAGAAAGATAACAAACTGAACGTTTACAATCGTTGCGTTTGAAGGATCTCATGTTACATGTTTTCTTATTAAAGAAAATACGGTGTGCCAACTCACCCCCCCC